TATTATGTTTAATATTTTTTATTTTTTGGTATTTTTTTGAATTTTCTGGCATTTTATATTTTTTTAGAATTTTTTGTATTTTTACGCCTTGCTTCAAAAAGGCGTGTGCCTTGCCTTGCGCTTTTAAAACACTGAGTTTGGAAAACTTTCTGGCTAAAAATGGGACTAGTAGGAAATAGTTATTTTGGGCTCTCATGTAAGAAGTATGTGTTGGGGTAAGATAACAAGGGCCCTGTACACAAAATCTCTATGAATAGTAAATCACAACATCTTGTTGTACTTGTTTGTCTTTAATTAATGGAATTCATGATCTTTGCTACTATCAAAAAAAATAGTATAATTGCAAATATGCTATTGGACCTCTTTACAAATTCAGTAAGTCTTTCTAATCCTAGCCACTGGTTAAAGAAGTGGAATGGATAATTCAATAAGTCTTTCTCTACTAAACCCTAATCCATACCCTCTTGGCATCGTGGACTCTATACATATGATATTATCATATTAGAGACCTAAAAGTGTGTTAAACATCCAGCCATAGAGAGCTTAATTTTGGGAACAGAAAAGGCTACCAAAGGCCTTCACGTTAAGAGTTAAGTGGGTGAGAAGAACTACAAATAGCTTGGCAGATGGTCTAGCTAAGCAAGGGATACAAAGAACTCAATTGTATTGGGCTCAATTGTAATATCTGGGTTGAGTCAGCTTTTCTATAGCTGTTCTTTTTATTTTTCCACAACTTCTTGTTGTATTCATGCCTTTTTTTATAATGAAATCACTTCTGTGTTGCTGATCAAAAGAAGGCCTTCACATTAAGAGTAGATTTGCAAGTCTGGAAATTGCAAGTTGTGCCTAGGCCCAACCCAACCAATAATATTTTTATACATACATTACACACACACACACACATGTGTGTGTATGTTTTATTTTATAATATATGATATATTCAAATATATAAATATTATAAAATTACATAGAATATTATATATATATATATAATATTTTTATAAAAAGTCAACAATGTTAGTCCCAACTATCGATAAATGGTAACCTAGGCCCATTGGGTATAGGTGTAGTCAAGGATTAAAATTTCGTCAGGTATTGAGGCGTATCAGCCAATACATATTGTATCAATGACCCTCCGATATGCCCCTATACTAAGTGTTTCGGGGTCTTACCTATTTCAGGGGTAGGCAGGCCTTAAACCGACCACCCTGAACTGGATTGGAAAAAAACAAAAAAAAAAAAGAAAGCAGCTAAAGATACAGGCTGATACGCCGGATGGGGCGTATTGGCCGTATCTATATTTTGAACCTTGGATGGAGATTTTAGAAATACACAAGGCCACAACATTGTTATGTTTTCGGGACCTATCAGTTTTGGAGATTGTACAAGGGCTGAGTTCACTGCAGTACTTAATGGACTACAGCAGGTAACAGAAATGAATATCACAAATTTAGTTATTGAAGGTGACTCTAAAGTTGTGACTGGATGGTTAAAAATTCATGAAAAAGCAGTTTGGATTTATAGAAATGAATTGAAGCAGATCGAATAGTTAATTAGAAGCTTAAGATAGAATGGGTGCAAAGATCTGCAAATGGGGTGGCTGATACATTGGCTAAGCAAGGGGTTAACAGGACTCATTTGTACTGTGCTAGATTGTAACTTTTGTAACTTTTTTGAGGTAGGGTAGTAATCACTACCCTACCTCAGGGTACTTATACTCTTATTTGTGATTTGCAATAATAAAAGTGATTCAGTTACATATAAAAAATTAAAAAAAAAAAAAAAGTGATTCAGTGATAGGGACTGCCTATCACAAGAGCTTCTTTGAGGGAGCTCGGACCTCCTAAGAGGCACAGATAAAGAAGAAGAGGAAGAAGAAAAAGAGTCTGTTCGGCCAAAATGCCCCTTTCAGTATCTATTCACATCCATTCATAGCAGCTACCTTACTTGCACTGGATCAGAGCTAACTAACTCTGTCAATTGTAACAAATAACAAGCTTGCTGACATGGACCCCTCACATAAGTTATCTTGTATGAAAAAAGCAGGACTAAGGAAACGGGCCAAGTAGCTTGACTGGGCTTGTGGACATGCCCATCACCCAGATTGTTAAACCACTGACTCACCACAAGGGGAAGAAAAGGTTCTGTTTCCAGGTCATTTTTTAAAACTTTGCTTTTAAGTGGGCTCATAATTCAAAAAAGGTTGGAACCAAATGGATTGAAGGATAAAAGGATAGAAAAGAGGAACCCGATAGACGATTAAATTTGGGTAGTGACTACGCACCAACCAAGAGGTGTAAAAATATCAAAGAGCAGGTCAGTGATATGTTGAACCAGGAAGCTATGACATGCATAAGAGTCAATAAACACTGATAAACGTTAAAGCTAAAAGATAGAACTGAGGTGGGGTAGTAAGAAAAAGTGATCGAAGAAAATCTATCTCCAGCACTGTCCCTAGGAGTGCAATTTGAGCTGGATTGGGTTGGAAAATTGTTAAAATTTCAACGGGCCGAGGTGTAAACTCTTCAAATCAGGTATCCAACTTGTACCTCTAAGTGGCCCAAGAATCTGTTAAAGTTCTCCAATTTATTCATGTACCTCTAGACCAATCTAAAGATAAGTTATGGTTTAGTGTCGGTAGGTGAAAACAAGAGTAGGTAGGGGTGTCAATGGATCAGGTTAAGTCAAGTCATAAACCCACTTTGACCTGACAAAACTCAACCAGTTGACATAGTAGTATTGAAAAATTGTAAATATAGACTTCAATAAGAAAAAGGGTACTGTTAACAAAATTGGGTGGGTCGGGTTAAGTAATTCCTATTCGAGAAGTGGGGGACAGGTTCGAGTTGAAAGTCATGGATAAAGAGATTCCTAATGATAATGCAGGGTTTGGCAATGATGGTGATAATCAGACTCAAAGTGGAGTGGTTTCACCAATTTAGATGGTTGACATGATGGATGGTCTAGAAATTCACCATTAATCTCTACGTGAAGGCTTAGTTGCTTCTTCATGACGCCTAGGTTAGTAGAAAGTGTTAAGGTTTCAATTGGAGGGTTAGCATGGATAAGGTCGATGTAGGACTGTGAACCAGGGTATCACATTAAGACTTATGAATGGTAATTTGGCAGATTCACTGAATGAAGATAAGTGGAAGAAGGATCAGAATTTCCATAATAAAAGGTTCTGTTATTGTTCAAAAAAAGGGTAAAACTGCAGCTAGAAGATTTAAAAATTCCAAGAATCATAAGTCTAAGTTACTAAAGTCTTCTCTGTATTGAAAAGTGGCAGTAGTGGTGCTGATTCACACAAAAGTTTGAAGTCTACAAAAGAGGGGCTCAAAACAAAATCCACAGGTTCACAATCACTCATTTGGGTGGGAAAAAAATAATATTTCAGATGAATCTTCTACTGGTGTTGGGTTTGTCAAGTAATGAAAAGGATGGAAGAGAGGTAGGGAATGAATAGCCACAGGTAAGATAAGGAGCACTTAAAACAGATTGGTAATGTAGAGGACAAATACACGAAGAGGAACTCCCAAATTTTTGTTTTGTGAAACACATTATCTGCAGACCAGAAGAGGAAGTATGGAACACGTTGAGAAGGTCTGTTTTGATAATAGAAATGAAGATTCTGAAGTAGAAGAAAAACAGGAGGATGAGGGACTGAAGAGTTTGCAAAAAAGTGTTTTATTGAGGAGCATTGTTTAAGGGAGGGGTGGAGAAGTAAATTTGATGTAGCAAGGGTAAACTTAGGAAGGTATGGAGTCAGGGTTAGATATGGTAGGCAGGTAGTCTAGGTTTACTGTGGCAAAGCCTTTAGCTGTCTTTACTAAAATTTCATGTGGGTGTGTGGTTTTGTTTATAAGAATTTGAGTGTGGGCAGTATGGATGAGCATTGTTCGGTTAAAACCGAAAATTTCAGTTTCGGTTTCGGTTTTCAGATTAGGAAATTTGGTTTACTAAATTAACCAAACTTTATTATTTATAATATATATAATTATATATTAATATATATGTTATATATTATATAGAATATATATAATATATTATATTACATATTATAATATATAATATTATATTATAAAAATATATTATTATTATATATATACTGTATAATATATATAATATGTTAATGTATATTAATATATTAAATAAATTTGGTTTTAACCGAAATAACCAAAATTTTTGGTTTTTCATTATTTTGGTTTCAGCTTGGTTTTCCATTTCAAACTTTAGTTTAAAAAAAATGGTTTATTTGGCTCATTTTTTTAACCAAATAAACCGATTACTCACCCCTAGTGGGCAATATTGTATTTGGAAGAGGGAAAATGTGTTGTCATTAACTTCCATGTTCCATTTAAAAAACAATCCATGTTCCATGGGTTTGGATTGATGGTTAATAGTTCTGTTATAGTTGGGAAGGGATAGATAAAGATTGTTTGCAGGTTTGGATTGGTAGGAGAAGTTGCAGTGTGCCAGGAAGGTGTTGTTTCCTTGTCTTTTTCAATCTCTTTCACTAAGTTTTATTGCCTCTGTATCATTCTTTTTTTTTAATCAAAAAAAAATGTTGACAGCAATAAGGATTAATTTAAATCTCATCATCCCAGCAAAACAAAAAAGAAGGTTCAACAAAGCAAACAACTACATACATGCATCTACATGCATGGCACTCTAGTGAGAATAAAAATGACCATTCAATGCACGTGCTTGTATGTGCCATTGTTTCTTTCTATGTCTATGTAATATAATTATACATATGACAGTAAGTGCAAATGTGCAATACATATGACAGAAATATACATTCACTGCATGTGTATCTTTCTGTGTCTGTGTATGGCACTCTTTTTTTTTTTTTGAACAGTGCAATACAATACTTTATACATTTCATAAACATTACGTAAATGACAGAAAGAAAATATTGCCTCTTTTGATATAAGAAATAAAACACAGAAAATATGACTGAATGATTTATATACAAATTTTAAAGGCCACTACAGCACCTGCTTGAGAATATTTGCCAACTTTTTCACTTCTGACTTTTCATGAATTAGATCTCCTTCACTTTTAGTCAACTGTACTGCTAACGCTTCCACCTGAAGACATACAGTACAATACTGCAATTTAAGGTCTTACCATACATTTTGGTTAAAAGGCATCATATATAGTAAGAATAATTATATGAAATGTGCACAAAACCATAATAAACATTGTCAGAAGAAATTCATCAAGAAAGAATATATTTAGTTGTGAAAAAAGGAAGAAGACAATATAAATAAGATATAAAGAATTTTACAGCTAATATTTCTGACTAAAATATTATAGTCTTCATTTTAAGATTGACAAAGTTGGCTGTAATTATATAAGGCATTCTGAAACTAGGAACCATAATAAAAACTACAAGGGCTTTAATTGAATCATATAGGTTAAAGAGTAAAAGTCTTCAATTTCTCACAATATAAATATGACAGAAAGTATCTTACAGCTAATATTTCTAACTAAAATATGATCGACTTAACTTGACAAAGTTGGCTGCAAATCTGCAATTATATAAGACATTCTGAAACTGGGAATCATAATGCAACTACAAGGGCCTTAATTATATCATATAGATTAAAGAGTAAAATTCCATTATTTCTCATAAAACCAACATATTATCATATCATAACTCAACTCAACTAAGCCTTGTCCCAACAATATTGGATTGGCCACATGAATGTTCTGCCACTCCACTATGTTCAGTGCCATATCCATCATTAAATTATGGACTCTTAAACAAATAATCGCAATGTATATGCACAATATTAGAGGTGGTAACCAACAATCATATAAAGTAATAGATGACAATTGACAGCAAAATACAAATCAATAACTGTATAAAGCATAGACTTAATATAAAGATGAGGACCATAATGGCCCTAGAGTTTAAGCAAAGACCACTAGCTGGATTTGGCTTTTGGAACCAATTAGAGCGAAGACTGCAAATACATAACTTCACTTTTCTTTCGACACTTACTCAGAAGCAGATATTTTTACACGAAGCACTCCAAGAGGTTGCAGCCAGGTAGAGCATTATATTTTTAGAGTGCCCCGTTCATTTTACAAAAACAACTCAGGTAATAACTCATCTAAAAGATAAGGAAAAGAAGCACACAAAATCTTTTAATGACTAGATTCTATATTGTGGTATTTCCTTTCTAGAAATAAAAACTGGTTGAAAAACTAAAACAAAACTATGGTCCCAAGGAATAAATAACAATAGATACTAAACGGTATGTTTGATGAATATTTCCAAAAGTTTGAAACCACTCCCACATAAATAAGAGTATTACATATGGAAAGAAGATAAGAATATACAGAACCAACCATGGCAATTGCCTCCTCTACATCATCCTTGTTTCTACCAGCCACACGGCCTCTCAAAGATTCCAAAGCATCTCTGAGCTTCTTCAAAAGGACATGTCTCTCAAGTGAAGCCGCATCTTTAAATCTAGCCTGAATTTAAAGAAAGGCTCAGGTGCAATTCACTCAGAATATCATCAATTCACCTTTAATGTTGATATTCTTTTCCACTTTGAAAATTTTAAAAAAGGACAAGAAAAAGAAATAACAAAATACTATTGCTATAAGATGGAACTGATATTACTTAATGTTGTTTTCATAGTGATTTCAGGAAGAACTATACTGAATGAGACTATTAAAAATTACAAACATGTGTGAACAATGTAACCAGGAAAGGACTACAAATTTAGTAGGCATGAACCTCCTCAGACAACTTAGCAGCAGCAGCCAGACCCTTCTCAAATTTACTGGCAAGGTCCCGAACTGAGAGACGCTTTTTCTGTTCTATTAGCTTTGCGGTCTCCCGTGCAACAATATCTTTCATGGACGGCACCTCTGGACCCTCCTTCGGTTCCATAATCTTATTGTTGGCTCCTATTCTATAATGTGGAAATCGATTTGAGACAAAGCTCACATCGGCCGATACCGACGGAACCGCGTCCCTCTGCATGGTATTTCCAAAATCCCGGCTTACCCTCGTCATCTTCACTGACTGAACCTCTGTATATCATCAAAAGGACCAAAATGAACAATAACAACAACAAAAGAACAAGAACAAGAAGAAGAATTCTATCAAAATCAAGGTATAAAAATTCCACTAAAAATGGCAAGTCTTATAAAATAAAGCCACAAGGTAGATCATCCTCACCCCCAATTGTTTTCATTAAATTAAGTTACCCATTCTTCTAAAATTCAAAACAATGGGAAAAAACAGGTCAAAATTGGACTTTAAAGATAAAAAAAGATCCTGACAAACCAAAATCGTTGAATGGATAAAGGTACCTAACCTTTTCTTTCTCTCTCTCTCTCTCTCTCCTTTTCGTTTTTTTTTCGGCCGGGAGGGGAGGAGGAGCTCCCGCATTGCACTAGGATTTTAATTGGTAGCTAGTGATAGACATAGATGAAACTTATATAACATCTATTCTCCTCAGAATGCATTGTCACAACTAAATGTAGTAGTTTCCTCACACCCCCACTCCTCTGCTACTAACCAAACCTCCTGACTTCTTTAGAGTACAGAAAGCCATGAATTTTCATAGACTCCATCAAGGAACAATGATCCAAAATTCGCAAATTATGAAGCTCGAAAATACAATACCTACATAACTTTGAAAGGTGAAATGGAAAACAAAACTAACCCAGATGAAACCAATCCTCGCAACTCGATCATGAAACAGTGGAAGCTTCAACATTAAAACTCTTAGGACAAACAAACTGGAACCCCAGCCACTGGATCATTCAGAGAAAAACAGAGAAAAATAACCCAGAAAAGAAGCTCAACAATGAGAACTTTTTTTTACTTACAGATCATCAAGTAGGAATTAATGGTCAAAAAGGAGAGCTTTAATTATCAGATTCTTCGATCGGTCAGAGCTCGCTCGATCATCTGCTGAAGACTCCAAGTGGATATTTTTGGAGATGAGAATGAAAGAAAGAGCAGCAGAAAACAGAATGGAAGAGGAAGAGAGAGGGTTTTAAATATGAACGGAGAGAGAGACTAAAGATGTTAACTTTTTTAAAAGGAAAAGAAAGCAAAAGAAAAGCCGCCCTCGCCACCCTCTCTCTATCTCTCTCTCCCTCCCTCTCCCCACTTGAATTTTCTCAGCGTCATAAAGCTTCTGCTTACTTGAATCTTAAACCTCTAGACGGGACCCACTCTGGCTTGTTTCAACCGATAGACTGGGGGAGTCTGGAATTGCACCCTCTAGTTGTTCAAATTTACGATAGTGCTTTCGTTGAGCTGCTTTGAAGAAGTTATTGACCATGTGCGGGTGACCCCACCTGCGGAGTTCATTCCAAATCCTTTTGCTCCAAAGTCGAGGATCCCAATCTGACGGTTTTGAACGTGCCGCATCACATAGAATGTATTTCCTGCATAAATCCAGAGACCCCGGTTAAAATGCGGGAATGCTCCTCAGATGCCAATCTGAGGGCTGAAAGCAGTGGGGAACCTCCCTTCATCTTGAAGCCAACAAGTTAGATCTTTTCAACTCAGCTCTTATGCTTTTCTTGGTAAAAGTTCTTTTCAAATTAACAGTGTTGAAACATTGTTGGAAAACCCTAGCCAGACCAACCTAGTTACTGAATGGACCCAGTAACTTTATTCTAGACCCGGACCCAGTAAAGAAGCGGCAAAAATCATGTGGTTTTTTTTTTTTTTTTGGTTAAAACGGATTTTAGGGCAGGAACAGGATTTGTCATTTACAATCCATATGGGTTTTGGTTAAGCCTGAACCTGATCATCCGTATATTAAAATGCCCCTAACACTTAAAATAATTGAAAAGTATCTCGGTTATTGGGAATTTTGGTATTTTATTTCTGTTGTTTAATGCTTAAGTATAACATAGAAATGTTTATTAAGTTTAGTAATTATACCAACTTTACTAATTTAAATTATTTTTAGTAATTTTACTAACTTTTGTTAGATTTAGGTGATCCAATCCATCCCACCCTCAAAGTAGGTAAGATAGGGTCAGAGAGGGTTTTGTAATTTCATGTATAATGAAGATTCAGATTTTGAAAATCCAATTCATGCAAGTTTTGATTAGGGTATAATTGGGAGGATTGTAAAGATGCGATGTGAAAAGAGTCTAGAATCTACAAAACCCTTTTCAAATTCGTCCCATTACCATCTCTATCTGCTGAACTAAGAAAACCATTGAGTCATTGACAAGAATTCTCATCTTGGGGTTATTTTAAAGCTTAGAAGATCAAAATTTAGCGTTTTCCATTTCATAATTAAAACATGGAAAGACTAAAGGATGAGCTTTCAAAATAACTGAAAATAGTAAAACTTCAAATAAAACTTTTTGGTCTTTCTACACTCCAAATAACTTTATAATCGTTTCCAACAGCCTGATAAACAATTACCAAACAATCTTTAATTTTCAAATACAAAACCCCAAAAGTTCAATCCTTCTTTTTGGTTTGCTAGGTTGTCAAAAGTTCTATTTAGATTGCCGAACAGCCTCTAGATCTTTCTTTCATGATTATGATAAGATATATAAAAAAATCGGGTCAGACCATTCACTCAGCTACCTAATTCTAAGTTTCTAACAACTATCCCATTAAACAGGTAGAGTGTAGACCACCATCCAGCTTCCAAAGATAAGATAATGGTTGAAATTAGTATTCGCGTGCAATCAGAACGCGTAATTTGGAGGAAGTTATGATTCAGCATAATTCCCATGCAATAACTTGACTGTTTTATTTTGTTTGTTGTTACATTGATTATTTTGAGAGAGAGAGAGAGGGTTTTCAGACAACAAAAAGTGCTTTGATGTTGTCGCCATACCATCTTCTTTTGGGTCCGAAAGGCAATATTCAGCTGCATGTTTCCATTGACTAATGGGAGGGTTGGACTCAGCAGCTTTCTGATGTCCGTGCCCTATGGGCCCAAGAGATAAAGAACCTGGCTCCATTGTATGGACAATGCTGGGCATTGGTCTGAAGACTCTGAACAGATGTCAGATGACTGGGGACGTAGCTCCAGCTTCGTATTCAATGGTTATAGATCAACAAAACAGATCCATATATGCACATGATGCCATATCACCCAATTCTTTTTGAAAGCCCTGTGCGGGTGTTTGGTATAGATGCCGTTTTCTTAAAAAACGGTGTCATGTAGGTGCTACATTAGAGAAAATTGTGCTTTAAACAGCGTCCTCTTATTTAGTATTGCTTTTTCAGAAAAAAATGTTGCTCTATACTAAGTTTTGGAAATCAGAAAAGTGTCGTCTGTTAAATTCAATATTTTCTGAAAAAATAATTTATTGTTGTCAATGATGCAATGATGTGGCATCATCTTGAACGTTGAATAATATAGATTAATGTTGAAAATGTTGCTGCCAATACTCGTACCAAACAAAATCATTATTGTTTTCCCAGAAAATGCCTATGTGGCAACACCGTTCTAAACAAAAAATAGGCAGCGTTTTCTCAAAAAACAGTGCTTTCAACTCCACATGTTCAACACCATTTTTATGAGAAAATGATATGATTAGACCTGTTCACGAGTTGGGCTTTGGGCCTCACTTACACTATATCGGGCTCGGGCTTTGGGCTAGGCCCCATTCAAATTTTGGCAAATGCCAAGCCCAAGGCCGACCCATGAATAGGTCTAGGTGCAATGTTCCCAGCATTGATGCCAAACACCTATTATATCACCCAATTTAGCCTTGGGTTAGAATTAAACTTGGATATCTAGTATGAATTTATAAATGGGGCTGGGTTTGGACAATTTATATGGAGCTACTGGGAATGGATCAAGATCCACGCATATAGCCCAAGTTGGTCAATTTTGAGGAGGATCTGAATTGGGTATTATAGGCCATATTTGGAAGTGCTTAAAAATATGTGTTTATTCAAAATAAGTGCTTATTTGGGCTAAGACCACACCATTAAGTATTTATTTTGGTGTTTAGGAAATAAACCCAAAATAAGTGTTTACTTTAAAAATAAGGGCTTATTTTTAAACCCAAATTTCCATTTTTAAGTGCTTAAATAATAAGCACTTATTCGATTTTTTTCTAGCAAAACTGTTCATATTTAATTTTTACAATTCCATTTATGCCCTTTGAATGTAAAAACACATGGTTTCTTCTCCATTGCTCTCTGCAACCAGGGCGGAACGCTTGTCAACTGTCCAACAGCGGTGGAAACTTTTTGACAACCAGATCTCTCTCCACCGCATATTGATTTGGGTCTATCACATTTTGCTCTCACTCGTTTCATGGTGAAAACTTTATGACATCTAGATCTCTTTCTCTCTCACTATCTCTGAGTTTTTCAGTTTTTGTTCTTTGTTCCAGCGCTACCTCCGCAACTTCCCTACATGCCTACTTTGTTTTCTTTTAAGGCCACGTTCGTTTTTCGGTAAGTTATTTACCTAGGTAAGTGATTCTTAGGAAAGACTTACCCAGATAAGTGCATTTGCCCATATTCTTTTATTTTCCATGTAAATAAGGCAATGGCCATTTTAGTCATAAAATTTATTATTAAAAGAGGCATTTTTTCTCATTCAAGTATTAGCAACTTTTTCCCTAGGTGGGAAAGTTATTTATCCACATAAATCTAGAAAAAGATCAAACATGGGATTCTTGCTCAGTGGAAATCAAAATATCATTGACCAACTTTCCCCCTCTCAAAATCCAGAAAAAGAACACCCCCTAAGAGTTGCTTTCTCTAGTTCAATTCTCTTATTGCGGGTAAGTTTGGCACATTAAAGCCATCAAAGCAGCTCTTAATGCAGGACTAGGAGATTTTGATGGACGATTTCCAATTAGGAGCCTCTCGTCAAGAGAGATGGCTCTCACAATACTTAGGTCTTGCCCTTCTCGAGGTCTCTCTCCTCCATTCAAGCTCTAGCTCACTGTTTTCCTTGAAGAGTTCGTAGGCGTCTTGATTAGAGAATTCGAGGTCAAAGAGGCTTTCCGCCTATTAATCGAAGCAATGACATTGCCTCTGTAGAGTGCAAGCTCGTAGACTTGGTCAGAGTTAAATCCCACAGATGTGTTAGATTTGAATGTGTTTTGGAAGCATAGTCACTGGTAGTATTGTTATTGAAAAATGAATAGAGAAACTATGCTATGCTTGGACTATAGAGTATGATGGTATATTTTGAAGAAAATGAAGGATAAAAGAGTCACGAGTGTTTATTGAAAAAAAAAACATCAAACGCCCAATATGAAATAAGTGCTTGAAAAAGCTGAATGCCAAATGCAAATAAGTGCTTATTCAAATAAGCACTTATTTTTAACACAAACACTCCCAAGTATAGCTATAGAAAATCAATTTTTGTATTGAATACTAATGGATTAAGAGGCACACCCAAATGGCTATGGCATCTAAAAAGTAACTATTTCAGACTTGAGACGTCTGAATAATGCAATCAAACGCCACCTTAGTTTGGTTGCAAACTTAAAATAGTTCCTCTAAATTAGTTACCCTTGCCAAAAAAATAACTCCTTTTTTCAGTATAGAAACACTCCATACACAAAACTCAAAACTTAAAATCAGAAACAAGACCTCACAAAAAGTTGACACACTCCATAAGCCTAACCCAACCTTAAAAAGTGGATAAGGGTCTCTCGTCTAGTAACCCAAACTAGAATAGGATTCAACCAACCCAGCATTGACCTCTTTTCAAACATCCATATGTGTACGTAAGAAGGCCTAAGGATGAGGGAAATGGAATCTAACAGTATTTTTGCCTTTTTTCATTAAAATTACAAGAATGCCACTATATACCAACTCTCTCTTCTGTTTTTTTTTTCTTTCAAATTACAAAAATGCCACACACACACACACTCTCTCTTTCTTACAAATTACAAGAATGCCATATCTCTCTCTCCTGCCATCTCTCTCTCTTTCTCCTTATAAATTACAAGAATGCCACTCTCTCTCCAATTGAGGGAGACCTCAACTCGACATCTCGGCTACTAGGGGACCTACAATCAAAGGTAGTCGAGTTTGAGCCAAGCCAAGCTCGAACTTTTGAGCTCAAGCTCAAGTCTCTAATTTGAATCGAGCTCGAGTTAGACGATACCTCGACTAATTGAGGGAGACCTCAGCTCGA